CATGTCAGCAGAAACTACATTTCATGGTCCTTTCAATAAATTAAAGCCATAAAAATGCTAGGTCACCGCTGAAACAAAAAAGTTTTTCAATCGCTCCGTCAGACCATGTCCTCAGAAAATGTCTAAAATCTGCCCTGTGCCCTTTGACCTCCAATTTCGGCACAGTGATGGCTTTTCCTACCATGATGCTGTACACCGACTATCACGAGCCTAGGTCGAGCAGTTTAGATTTGTGCCGCAATTCTGCATTTCCTCCCTATACCTTAAGTTAAGAAGGGAATGTTCCCCCTTCTTTTACAGCTCTTGACCTTTGACCTTTGACCCCCAGCTTCGACATCCCAACTCGTTTTCGGATTACCCCCCCCCCACGTCCCGAATATCGTGACCGTACGTCGAGCGGTTAAGATTTGTGCCCAACTATTGACGGACGGACGCACGCACGGATGGACGGACAATCATGCGATTCTACAAGCTGCATCTGACTATGTCAGATGAGCTAAAAATGATGGTTAATAAATACAACTTGTCAGTACTAGACCTACCAGTACCAGTAATAGTTTTAATGTTTGATTTGACCTAATAACTTCACTTCAATACCGTCCAATACACCGCTGCAACACACATTCCTATACTATAGTGCGCACGCCATTATGCACAAATACACAGTAATATAAGATATTACTGTGTATTTGTACACCCTATTGTATTGTGTACACCCTATAATATTACTGTGTATTTGTGCACAATGTCAATGCCAATGGCGTGTGCGCTATAGAATGAGTGATGCAGCGGTGTATTGGATGGTATTGAAGTGAAGTTATTAGGTCAAATCAAACATTAAGACTATTACTGGTACTGGTAGGTCTAGTACTGACAAGTTGTATTTATTAACCATCATTTATTATTGAAACGGCCCAAGTGCATGCCTGTGGTTCGTAGGCTACAGTACTTTCGTGACAGTGTGTCGGTGATCATGCTGGTTATTGAATTAACCATGAATTAACACAGTTACTTCTACTTCTATACTGGACAGTCCGTAAGAAAAAAACGTCCATGGCTATAGCTAGCCATGGGATGTGACCTAACTTGAGTAAAGCCAGGTAGTTAGCCTTTTAGCCGAATGAATGGCACTGCGGGTGGTCACGGGCCAGTTCGCGCCCTCAGTGGTTCTTTTACGTCCACATTGGTACAAGCGCACTCACTGGATATTTACATGTATACTTTACACACAAACTAAAACCTAACCTTTGCTCAGCGTATACCCAAGGATTCGAAAATGTGAAGCTGTATAAATCGTTAAAGAGATGAAAAACAATGAAAACAGGAACACAAAAATGATGACAAACTACAGGAACTACCGGAAGGTGAATGTCGTTTCTACTTCTAGTTCTAGATTCTTCCACTACGTGGCGCGCGTGCTGTTAATTGAACAACTTCCGGCTGGAAGCAGTAGAAATCTGGTAGAAATGACAATTACGGGTTTTTGTTACAGATACCTATGCAGTTACTTACAATATATTGCGATACATTACAATATAAAGCAAAATATAATAAAAATAATAGCAAAATGTAACGTAAAAGAATTTCTCGCGCCCATCGGGATTTAAACTTGTCCTCTCTCTCTGCCTTTAACAAACCCCTATCACGTCCACGGGCGGCGCGCGAGTTTTTAAATCGTAGGATGGCGACTGAAGATTGATAAATTATTCGTGCTTTAACCCTGCCCCTAACCCTAACCTTAATCAGTCACCATCAGTTACCGTCCTATCCTTCAGTCGCCATCCTACGATTTAAAAACTTGCGGGCGGCGCTACCCACTAGGATGATTACTTTGATTAGTACAATTAGTGATCACGAATTTTTTTTCTCCGCAGGATTCGAACCTGTCGTCTCTGTGGCGTTCGCCAACCCCCCAATCACAGCCACTTGGAAACGTTTCAATACAATATAATGCTAACATAAATACGCAATATAATACGTACTACAAAATTCTTAATGACAATAATGTTTCTTTCACCTATTATTGCGACAGTTTCCTGTCAATTCCGTGTAAATGCTCTATGCACACACACTAACGCCGCCATTGCTCACTGTGCAGCAGTGTGTTAATATATATAGTAACACACTATAGTAACTATAGTATATATAGTTACTATAGTAACAGATATAGTAACTGTTAATATTATATTAACACACCTTGCAAGTGAGCAATAGGCAGGCGTTAGGTGTGATGGCATTAGCATTGTACACCGGAATTGACAGGAACTGTCGGCAATAATAGGTGAAGAAACATTATTGTCATTAGAATTTTGTAGTACTAAGTATTATATTTTCGTCTATTTTATTTAGGCATTATATTTTATTGAAAGCGTTCAAGTGCCTTGTGCCCCCAATGACTTGCACGACGCTATCAACTAGACCATTATCGTGGACATCATGGTGGGTTGGTAAAAGCAGAGAGATATGACAGAGTTATGACTCAGTGGGGGATAATATGTTCATTCCTAACGTTTTATTTGTTTCAATTTAATATTATAATGGCATAATGTCACCTAATAGTGATTTCGAGCTATCGTAAATGACATAATAATTAACGGCAACTGCAGAGGACTACTTGGTTTTTCATCTGCTCTAGAGCCTTTTTGCCGCAACTTCAGCAGACCTGGTCCAGCGTAATGACAAGTGCCAGGGCCGTGGTAGCGCAGGGGGGGGGGCAGGTGTAATAACACCGCACCAGATTTTGGAAGCAAAATTAAAAAAAAATGTGTTCTATCTAAGTGGGGAATGTCCGTAGTCAGAATAAGGCCTAACTCGAAGTTGCCTCAAGATACCATCGTCCTGCGAATCTACATTTTTAAATGTTCTGTGGGAGGACCCCCCAGACCCCCACCTGTTTCTCACCCCGTCCTTGAAATCGTGGATCCGCCACTGTCCCCCTAGAGATTTGCTCAGCCTACGGCCCTGACGTGTCTTATATAGAATATTAGATGCGGAGGTCGGATATTTGGAATCGCAGAAACGAACATACTATATTGAATAAATATAAAAGTAAACAATAACAAGACACACAAGCGTAAAATGTTCTGAAATATAAGGCAACTATATTTAAACATATTGCTCACATGCAAACGACTTCAGTCACACGATCCAAAAAGCGTTCTTTTACTACATTATAAAACAGTGTGATAGTATGGAAAAGGTCCACACACGTAAAATGCAATTATGCTGGAAGACTGAATACGCAACGTTCTACTACGTCTACTCTATTCGTACCAGTAGTACAGTCAGTTCTCCAGTCTATACGTTTAGCGTTTCTTCCCCCTGCTGCAACACTAGCAATAAAAGCAAATAGCAATTACACGATCAAACTGTTACTTCACAAGATTACGGACGTGTGAGATCACTATATACATATCATTCGGGTATATATAATAATGAGCGTATTTTGGTATATGTACAAAACTAGGACTGCTGCTATATCAGTGTTATCACGCATCCGTGAGAATATCTACAGCCACGGAAATGCTGGACGCGCAGCGCGGAATCATCGCAATGACCGATTACTCTCACACGACACAGTTCTCTCTGACACTGATTTAACGATGTGATGAGTTACTTCACGCATTCTATACTAATAAAACGTAATTTATGCAAGATGCCATAATCAAGATATCAACATCATGAATTGGACTGCTTATTGACGTCCCGTTCATTTCCTTTTCTGAAGTAGAAAAATATGTAACCGAATTCTTTCTGGGCATATACATCAGTAAATATAAAACTACCACAGGTATTCATAGGAAATCGGCACCGTCGCACCTACAGTTTAGCGACTGACATATCTTTCCATGCCAAGCAGTATAACTGTCTGTCACACGAAACACAAACGGAAACCCTGTAGAAACGCAAGGGTAGGGCGAGTCCGTGATTACCGAAAGAAAAGTAATATGGTTACAAACAAGAGAGAGGGGTTGTGGACAATCGCCGGAACCCTCTACCTTACACACTTACGATGTTAAACAGTTTTCCTTTATACCCTACACTGATTTACGCCGATTTACGTTCACATATATAAATACTTACATGCGTACTGACCTATACAAGGAATAAACTAAAGGTATTAGGCAGCCGCATAGAAACAAAAATGTACACGTACTATTTTGCGGGCGCTCGTAACCTACACACAACTAATTAACCACGTAATACATCGAGAATTTGAGCTACGTTTCATTAAAACTGATTCTGTACATGCATTAAAATTGCTCAACAACAAAATGATAAAAGAATTCCAACATCCAGCGTACGCCAGCAAGGAATTCCACGGCAAGTTAATAGCCGCACATATACTGTGCGACACGCTGCGAAAACCACTGCCATTGCTAGTTAACTGCCATGTTATGATGCTGTACACACACACGTGCCTGTGCCGAAAAAAATCTGTTTGTCTATTTTTACAGTTCACGGATTATCTCATATATAATATAATATCATGCATACCATATCATATCATATCATTATCATATGTAATATCATATCAGGAGTACACAAACAGTGAAATGAATCTGTATTCATATACTCCTGGCAATATCACACACACCCACACATTATATATATATATGAAACAAACGACACGAGCATTTTTCGCCACAAGTTCCCGTAGTGCAGCATGAGAACAGCTGCTGGCTTTGTACGAATAGCCAGGTTTAATAGCAACGTATGTATTCCCCTGTTGCCTTTCACACAATTACCAACGATCGCGCGCTAGCTTAAAAAATTCTCCGCCGTTTTCACAACCACATGAATGTCTACGTACGAAAATGTCGAAACGCGAAGCTGCACAACAGAAAATACAACTAAAATACACCATAAATAATCCGACCGAGACAAATATTCTCTGCAATCACGTACAAAAATACATACGTACGCACTCACGCACGCACACACGCACGCACACACACACACACACAAACACAACATTACGATCATAATAAAGCTTCGATGTAGGAACGCCATCACGCGTTAAGCTAGCGGAAAATAACAATATTCGGGAGGGGTGTGTGAAACGTATCCGCTATATATGCAGTACTGCAGCAATCAGTTGTGCAGAACCAATACGTTAGTACAAACCGTGAAAACTCTTCACAAAGTCTACATACGTATATACACATATCGTACAGAATTCAACCTTTAAAAAATACCCGATTGAACAGCATGCACTTTCCTTGTTGAAATATCTATTTTCCACGATCTGAACCCTGAACTTGTACAAACGTACCGCATAAAGTCACAACGCTAGACATTCATGTACAATGTGCTTTTGCGATGACTCTTACACCAAATTAGCACTGGAAAAATTGGCTACACCAAAATTACAAAACGCCAGAGCCAACCAGCCACAACAATAATTTTCATAAAAGATGTTTAATCTGTACATATAGTTTGGAGCATGCGTCACTCCGTCAGAAATTGTGACACAAAATCATATTCATAATATGATTCCTGTCAAGCAATCACGCATAAGGAAATCTACAATTCAAATAACGCAATGTACAAAATACATGTACAGATTTCACAATGTACTGAAGGTTTCAACCGTACACCTACAAGCAAGCATCAACAGAGCGTAATTTATTGATATGTCACTACCAGTGCACTCGTAATACACAATGAACCACGTGACCACAGTAACGCGGAGTTTAGTGGCACTACGGTGGCACCACGGTGGCAACATTAAACTTCCTAACTGGCACATGCCATGGTGGTATGATATATTACAGTTCAGTTCTTATTGCTTAGTAATAGTAGTACCTTATGTAAGAGCACAGCTTTGTGTGGTTGTAGAGTGAATGATGCAGCTCAAATTCTAAAAAGCTAACATAGGTGAGGCCAAGACATACATATTGCAAAATTACATACGCATATTACCAGACATTGTTGACAAAACAAGCGTTGACATGTATATAAACATATCTTTGTGAGGGTTAAGAAATTCGGAAAATTCCATTTCCTTAAAATGGCGTAGCATAAATGATCGGTAGAAAACACGAGTGGATCACTCAGGCACATGCACACACAAGCCAATCAACCACAGTAACCGTACTAAAGCTCTTCAGTTAATTCTGGATTACATAACAGGACCAGCCTAGCAGTAATTGTTTTCACTCGTTAATCAAGATGTGTAATTAGGGGTTGCTAAGCCACCAGGCACGCGAAACGTGTCACTCTTTCGACAATAATTATGACTAGACTGCTTGTCACTGGTGGCAAATCCTGGACAGAAAAAAAAGACTTTTCAACTACTAAAGAAAGAACCATACACATTCGTAAAATGCGAGAGGACTATGAAG